CAGAAATCTCAAGAGTCTCTCCTATGATGGCAACAGAGAAGTATCTCAACGTAATCACCTCCATTTGGCCTGCCCCTTAGTCACTCTTTGTCTCTCTTTCAGCCTCTTTTATTTATTCTTCTCAGGAACAGCTACAGGACCTTCCTACAGTACTTCTTCTAGCCTTCACCAACAGCTCAAGTGAAGTTAGCATAGTTCATATCAGTTTCATTATCTGACAAGCCCACAAAATCCTCAACATCAGCAGTGAAATTAAGAAAATGGCCTTGTTCTCAAACTGCAGTTACTCCTTTTTAACATGTATAAGCAGCACCAAGAAGTCTGCCCACAGCTTCAGGAAGATAAGAGCATATATTCACATTCATTACAAATTTGAAAAATTAAAACCTATATTAGAAACTTTATTTTAAAGAAGAAATCCTTAATTCTGTAAAAGTCAACTGCTTACTTCAAAACACTAGGGAAACTAGAGCAACCCACTTGTAGAACATAATTACATCTTCATGATCCAAGCCCAAATTTCTACTTAGGTTCTAATAAATAATTTAGTACAACACTAAAAACTTACAACATTCTGGTCTAGTTTTTTGAGCTGAAGGCAAGACCTGCAAGTTGGAAACATTCAACTCTTCTTTTAGTTCTTCCTACATATGGCTTTATAAAAGCACTGACCGGAGGACTTTATAGTACAGGCAACAAAAACTATCTCCAGTCTTCACCAATTTTACTTTTGTCAGGACAGGTCAACTCTTTAACATTACTGCAATAAAATTAAACCAGGTCAAAAAGAGAGAGGGACTGGTACTTCTTTTAAATTCTTATAATTTATTTAGAGTGTAAATAGTTATTATGCATCAGGTCTCTGTAGATATCATCACACTTATAACGTATGTGATGTTTTTACACCAGTAAGTATTTCAGTCATCCTTTTCAAGTACCAAAACAATTATTCTGTTTATCAGAGCTATAAACTAGGTGTCATCATGCAGTCATTTGAACAACCTGAGATAACAAGGCTCCTAGTACTTCCCACAAATTCAGGCAGAATAAACAGGTTGGAGAAAGACCAGGTATCCTTAAACTCTCAACTACCCAGCCAACTCAGATTGTGAGAGGATAAGATTCTATGCAAAAAATAAAAAGCCATTTTACATAAGATTTTAGTTGTCTTCAGCTTACAAATATTCATAGTTTTAAATAATCAAATACATATTAAACTACCCATCATATTACAGATTGTGACTATAAATCCAATACTGTAATCTATGCAATGCAAAGATAGTCATATATTCTTTACTTCCCAGATTCACAATCTAATTTGTCCAAATCACCTGTCAGGTCTAGGCATAAACAACAGAGGAATAGTAAAGCATTTTAAACTGCAAAGCAAAAATTGCACTCAGAGCGGCATTCATCAAAGCAAGATTTCAATTCAAGCTGTCGATATTACTACTGTTGGGAGTCGGATGACTAATGTGAGAAACCAGATAATCCAAAACCCCACCCCTCCATCCACAACCACAATATCTGTAAGTTGAATCTTGTATCTCCCTAATAATTACACAGCAGCTCTTGCCCATTGTTACCAAACCAGTTCGTCTGAGAGACGCTTCAAGCTCAAAAAACAAACAAACCAACCAAAAAACAACAATATAGGGTGATCTGGACAAATGAAAATGATTTACTTACCGCCTGTGCAGAACAAACTGATACTCTACACGTTAAAATTCTGGGTTCAATAACTGACTGCTGTGTCCACTACAAAGCTGAAACTGAAAACTGGCTTGCCTCAGCTCACTTGTAAATGTCC